AACCTAAACTGCATGTACCTCGGGTCTCACCCTGGCAGCTGAGACAATCCACCCCAACACTTGGCGGCACATCAGTGCTAGCCTTAGCAGGATAAATCTCCCCAGACTTATCCAACGGCTGTGAACATTCTAAACTAACACGAGTCTCATAAGTGTCCAGTTTAAGGGTATTACACAGAAACACACCACTATAACACGAATCAAATATGTACTTTATTCATTTACAATAAATGTCATAATGTACATCAATCTAATTGGAGCTAAGGGCATACATTGTCTAACACAATCAATGTTTCTATTTATCGCCTTTCTCCACTTGGTGAACAATTTTCTTGGATTCTTGACACCGGAGTGTCGGATCATATGACCTCCAACCTATCTTGCCTGCTCCACCATGAAATTTTGAAAGTTCCTATTCCTGTACATTTGCCCAATGGTTTTGTTATCACTTCTACACACAAAGGAACAATTGTTCTAGCTCCCAATTTTATAGTTTGAGACGTCCTTTATGTGCCATCTTTCACACATAATTTGCTTTCCATAAGTAAGCTCACCCATTAGTTCAATTGCGTTGCTACGTTTTCTTCTACCTGTTGCACATTACAGGACCAAGTCTCGAACATACTGATTGGCAAGGGAACGCTGTGTGATGGACTGTATTTTCTACAAGCCACTCCGGTTTCAGCAGCTCTCTCCATCAGTGCTGAAGGCAGTTTTTCCACTTGGCACAACAGACTCGGGCACACGTCACCATGTCAGATGTCCCTCCTCTTTGGTGGTAGACTTTCCCCTTCAAATAATAATGCTTGTGATATTTGTGAACGCGCCAAGCGTACACGTGTTCCTTTTCCAATAAGTTCATTACGAGCACAGATGCCTTTTGCTCTCATTCATTGTGATATTTGGGGAGCCTATCATACTCCGTCCCACTCTGGAGCACGATTATTTCTTACTATGTGGATGACTATAGTAGATGTACTTGGCTTTATCTCATGTGACATAAATCTGAGACACACAATCTTCTTGTGGCCTTTTGTAATATGGTGCGAACTCAGTTTAATCAGGTTGTCATGTCTATCAGATCCGACAACGGGAAAGAGTTCTTTTCTGGTCCCATGCAACAATTCTTTACAGGCAACGACATCGTACACCAACACACTTGTGTGGATTCCCCTCAACAGAATGGAATCGTTGAGAGGAAACATCGGCACCTTTTAGAGGTGGCCAAAGCATTAAGATTTCAGGCTTCATTACCCATATCTTTCTAGGGAGAGTGTGTTCTTACAGCTGCATACATTATTAACTATCTTCCAGCTGCTCCTCTACAAGGCAAAACCCCATATGAACTCCTGTTTGGAAAGCCACCGACTTATGCTCATGTTAGGAATTGGCCATATTTTTACCTCCAGGGATGTATCCTTTTATGAGGACACCTTTCCTTTCACTAATACCATGTTGCCTAGTCAGCAATCTTCAAACCAAATCGCCGTCCCATTGGCATTATTGAAGGACCAAGCGAGCCCACTATTGGCAAACCTACTATGGATGAAAATCCCATCATTCATACCACAAAACCAATTTTGTCCATGCTTCAACCTTAATGAGCACGCTGGCCACCTGCCCACTTCCAAGTTGAAGGCCTTGATTACCATAACACATATGCGCCCGTGGCAAAATTAGCTACTCTTCACTGCCTTCTAACTCTTGCAGTCAGTAAGGGATGGGAATTACATCAATTAGATGTAAACAATGCATTTTTGCATGGTGACTTATCTGAAGAAGTCTATATGAGTATCATAGCTGTCAAGGCGATGCCTAGGCAACAAGGTGCCCTTTGAGGTTCACCTCGCCTAATCGCCTAGCAGTTTTCTACTTCCTACTATAAAATACTTTTTTGTTCATTCTTTTTTGAGATTATAATTATAAAATAGACATTATTAAACTAAAATAATCATTTTGTGTGTTTATCACTAATATAGGAAATAAGTCCAGTAGTGTGTTGTTTAAAATCAACTGAATATATGAATTTGAGTTGTGTTTTATCCATGGGTGGGTAATCTACTTTAATGTGTCAAATGAAGAGCATAATTCTTGCAGAGATGGAAGCAATGGTCTGCTATGGAAGATTACCTTAACCATCTTTACCTGATGTAGAACTTCTTTACCTAGTAGATCTGTCCTTGTGGCAAGTATTAAGGACCTTTACTTGTCTGAACTCAAAAGGCTGCAGTTATCCTTTGACTCTGCGTTTTGTGCTACTTTTTCTCCAGGAGTTTTCTTTAAAAAAAATAATTCCTGAAATTTGCGTACCTGCAGATAATTTCTTTCCTTCAGCAGAATGCACATCCTCGAGTTGCAGAGAAGATACCATCTGTACCGGAGAATGTTACAGATCAGGTGCCCTTCTCCCCAATATTGGACAGTATAACTGGGCTAATTGGCTATCCTTGGGCTCAATCCACTTGACGAGCCTGTAAGGGGGTCCACTCAGTCTTGGCAGATTTGCCAAGTTCTTGGACATCACTCTATTTCTTCTTTTCTTAAGTAAACATGTTCTACCGAGAGTGCATTTATTTGTCATCAATTGTGGTAAGCTGAAATGTTTTTTGTGAGCAGATTAGGCTGTGGGAAACTGATTTGAACAGAGTTGAGATGATTCCTTCGCATCTCTATGATGAATTCCCCTCAAAGGTAAAGATTCAGGCATCGTTTTTGAAACAATCTCTCTCTTGCCTCCCCCCAACCCCACCCCACTGCAACATTTGAATGTTCCCTAATGTCTTTCAGGGAGTTTTTGAAGCTGCCTGTGAGTTTGCAAGAGAAAATGGTGGATTGTTATGGGAAGATCCCAAAAAGATGCGCATAGTGGTTAAAGGAGAGATACACATGCAGATGCGAGAATTTCTCCGCCATCAAAAGCAATAGTCAAATTATGTAATGAACTTCCGTTATTCCTGTCATATTGCTGCTAATAAAGAAGAAAAGGGTGATGAAATATGAACTGGATGAAAGATGGCAAATCCTCGTGCTCCAGTTAATCCAGAAAACTTTATTCGATTGGCATGGGTGGACAGCACAGGTTCTTGAACGTTGACGGCAGAAGTTTCTCGGAGGAGACAATGTGGGTTAGATCAGGCTGGGCCAGGATAGAAATGAAAAGCGTCTTTTGAGTTCTAACTCTAAAGTCAGAGAACACGGACAATCTTCCATATTGACCATAATGAGCACGATATCCTATACCTCTTACTGTCTTGTGCAAATTCCAATAAAAAAGCTTTTTAATGTTTGGTAAGATAGAATTGATGGGCAATTTTTTTAAATTAGCTAATTGACAAATTATACCCTTATTATTTACCTATTGTCTTAAAAGTATCATTATTGTATCTGACAATTGATTAATCCTATCTTTGCTGTTAGCATCTGTTAATGTTCTATTAAAATTCGTACATATGTGACACTATGTAACCTATGTATTTTTATTTTTAAAAAACCCAATATTACTCTTCATCCCTCTCCAGTATGCCAGGTAATCTCTCTGTATCTCCTATAAGCAGAGTAATCTCTTTGCTGACATATCCAAACCCCAATATTACCGTCCATTTGCTCTTTACTGACAATAATACCCCCAAACCCAATAAGGACCTCCTGCTTGTGCAAACTCTCAAAAGGAGGTCTGGTTCATCGTGGTTGCACAGAGAACTGACCCAGTAGAGTCTGTTTGTGCAAACTCTCAAACCTAGCCAGGAACTAATTTGAAACAATTGCATCAGTCTGCTTTTCCCAACATTTTGGCCGATGCATGCTAGAACCATGGTGACGATGGACCTGGTACTAAGTCCCTTCCAGGACTCATCTTCCTTCATCGTCGGCCTTGCAACAGTATTAGCAGGTAAGGGAGAAACAGGGGAAGGGAAAGAGAGAGGACGGTGGGGAGAAAAGGAACACCGTTGAGGATTTGTTGCCAATGGTGATAGCAGGGAAGACTAAGAGAAGATGCGTGGTCGGGTGGATGACACCACGGTTTGTTTAGACATAGCTGTCGAAGGGGTATCCGGGAACAAACAAACTGGTAATGGGCTTGCTCACACATCCTTGTCTCTGTCGCTTTCAGCACGATGATCACTCCCTGCCTCTATTGTTTTTGGCACGACGAGCAGGTGGTCTATAGTCCTCCCATTCCTCCTCATAAATCCCCACTCCCTCTCTCTATTGTTTCCGGCACAACGAACAGGTGATCGACAGTCCTCCCATCGCTCCTCACAAATCCCCACTCCCTGTCTCTATTGTTTCCGGCACAACGAACAGGTGATCGACAGTCCTCCCATCGCTCCTTACAAATCCCCACTCCCTGTCTCTATTGTTTCCGGCACAACGAACAAGTGATCAACAGTCCTCCCATCCCTCCTCACTAGTCCCCACTCCCTGCAACTACTCCGATTTAGGTCCTGTTACAATCCCTTTGATTTCCTTCCTCAAGCATGTATAGGAGACAGCTCTCTGTTCCTTGGGTGACTCCAACTTCGACCTAAGAAGGCTCCCCGTTCCTTCTCCCCAAGTAGATTGATGACATCATCGGTCACATAATCGTAGGTGAAGCAACAACCACACTTATGAGTCCTAGTGAGCATCGTAGAGGTGAAATTGCTCTGGGGCCTGACACTGAACAGAGATCCAAAAGATCATCAAGAACGGCTTCGTTGCAGTTCTTCAGATATTTTATCAGTTGGGTTCTATTTTGAAAATTTTAGAAATACTAGAGGGCAAATAAGGCATTTCGTTTTTTCCATTAGCGCTTAACGATCATGTCAATTGTTAGTCTCTTGAAGACATTCGATAAAATTTGAACATACAGAGAAGATCATGTCAATTGCTAGAAATAATAGAGGTACTTTAAGGCAATATATAAACAATAAGAGTACATTTTGTCAATTCAGTAGGGATAATTTAAGAAATTTGTCTTTATTTATAACTTTTTTCTAATAATAATTATTAATTATGATAATAAAAAGTCATTATTAAAATTAATAACTTTTATTTTATTCTGTCCATTGGTTTTACTTCATGGGCACGCTATGGTTTAAGCAGACCACATCTCAACAATTTAATTTGATATGGGCACGCTATGAATAATTTAATTTGATATAACCACACCACATTTTGCATGGGTATTGATGTAAACATGTAGAAGATGAAGTAAAGCTGTAAACGGATGATAGATAAATCCAAATTTGATTCATTGATATTCTAGCTATTCAAGTTCATCTACAATCAATTCAGTTTATAATATGCAGTACTAGCTTCAAACTATACGTTGTGAGTTTTGCAGGAATGGAGGGAACCAGCTAATAAACCATTGAGCCACCCCCTGGTTGATTACCCATTATTTAATTGTAACTATCGGATCTGACCTCATGAGACCCGACTATCGGATCCTACCCATACCTATCCATAGGACACTACAGCTGTATACGGAAGATGTTCCCAACGTGGTGTCATGTATGTTGGTAGGATATCCGGATTCTGCCATTTTAACGTGATCCGGAAATTGAACATTTGGACATTATAGCTGAGTAGGTGAAAGTTGTGTTGACTCGGGATATCTGAATTTGGGGACATCCATGAGTCCTGGGTCAACCCAATTTTTCAGCTACAACATTCGGATGTTCAGGATCTGGATCATGTTTAAGGGTATGTGACTTTTTGATGGGGAATGAAGGTAGAAGATGTTAGACAGTGTATGCTCTTATCTCTAATCAGATTAATGTACTTATTATCATTTATTCTAAATGAATAAAGTGCATAATTGATTTGTGTTATTATGGTATGTTTTTGTGTAATACTCTTAAACTGGACACTTATGAGACTCATATTAATTTAGAATCTTCACAGTCGTTGGATAGATCAGGGGAGATTTATCCTGTCAAGGCTGACACTGATGTGTCGTCAAGTTGGTTGGAGTGGCTTGTCTCAGCTGTCAGGGTGAGACCTGAGGTACATGCAGAGTGAGTTTTCTTGAAACCTTGAACTAGACCAAAATTCTAGTATTGCCCTAGACCTTGGAGATAGATGGGCAAAACTGGAATGTTACACCTGACTCGTAGACTCGAATATGATACAAAACTAAGTATCGGATTGGGTTGTCTTTGATATGCCAATCAGTGAGATCATTTACCGGGTCAAAACCTGGGTATGTTGGGGCAGTCCGAGAATTCACTTGAGTGGGTGATCATAGTAATAGGATCAGCCCCTTTGTCGGACAAAGTGAATGATCGGGGAATGCACTATCTCTGATGGAAACCTAAACTACCGGCAACTGATTTCAAACGTTTGCAAAAGGTTTTAATTCCTAGGATCCATGTGAGTAAAGAGTGCAACATTGTACCTTGCAGCCGAGGGTGAAGTCCTCACTTGTCGGGTAGTGTTTGATCATTATGGGCTGAGAGGTTAAGTGTAAGGCCATTGAGGGTAATACCTGATGGGCTAATTTTGCATCTGCCCACAATCCTTGGGTTTTCACAAGATGGCTTAACCCAAGGACCATTTAGTGTAAATGTTGGGCCCATTAAGAGTTTATGTTGATTGACTCAGGGGTTTGTTGTGACTTACAATGAATTCGGCCATGCCTTGTAACAAAGGCTAGGCTGAACCCATGTGGCTGATGTGTAAATCAATGATAGGGTCTCACACCATACAAAGAGAACTAAACTAGCCAACACATAATGGGTTAAATAAGCAACACGACTTAATGGGCCTAAAGCCCATTTCGAACTGGGCTTAAATGGTTTAATTAAATTGGGAAAATTTTGGATTTATAATCTAACTAGGATTAGCAGTTGGATAAGATATGTCTTATCAACTTGAGAATCCAGATCTAAATACAAGATTTAGATTAGGAAATCTCATTCTTAATCAGATTAGGAAGCTAATCCTGAATGGATTATAAATATCCATGAAGAGAACACATTCCTTTCTACAGTCTCTTCTCTCCCTCAGTTCTTGGTGCCATCATAGTTCGATCTCCACCTGCTGGAGCAATCAAAAAGTGTTCTTGATATTGTTTCTTGGTGAAGAAACAATTAGAAGTCGTGCTCACATCACCCTACTCGATTCTTGGTGAAGAATCCCAGGTTCTTGCTGAAGAACCGTTCCTGTTGATCCTGCCTCAACATTCGTTGTGCCATCTTCAGTGGAGGCGGATTTGTTATCCTCTTTGGGTGTGAACACCTACCTTGGGAATTCCTTTTAATTTCGTATCAGGTATTTCCCTCTTCCCGCCTTTGGTTTCAGATCTGGTCTGGTTTGTTTCAAGAATAATCCTTAAAAATGTTGTTAGGAAATGCGATTCCCAGATGGAAGAGAGATAAATTTTTAAAATTTTGCCCAACCTTCCTACAGGGTTCGGCCATCCATATGATGGATCTCTCATCCCTTTAGTGGTATAATAGTCAGGTTCACATTCTTGAACCAAAATCAGATATGATCTAAACCTACGCAAATAGGCATAATCGGTTATACCCGATTTATGCAGATTAGGTTTTTTTTTTCTAAGAATTCGATTCTCAACTATGGGCGATTGATATGAAATTAAATTATTTATTTTCTGCAATATATTTAGAACTGTTCTATTTATATTTCTTGAAATCTGGGTTGTTCGTACGGTGGAGATCGAATTTCTTTAGGCATTGTGAATCTGTGCATCTACTACTTTATTCTATTCATTTTGGGTCTATAAATAATTAAATTTTTATTTATTTTCTAGGCGGAATGTATAGGAATTTGATTCTTATGTAATTAATAGAGAAATTAGGTTTTTTTCCTTTTTTTTTAATCGAAAGAAATTGCTGGAAGCACGAAGGAGAAATTTTGCAGGTATGAGTTCAGCAATCTGCGATTTATAGTTTTGGAAATTGCAAACTACGAACTAACTTTTGTTTTGCAGGTTGCAGCCTTACAAACAACCCTCTTGCTATTGTTTACTGATTCTTGATTGTCACGTATCAGTTTTTAATTTCATATCATGTTTTAAGAATTGAATTTTGAATTAAACATCAAACCCTAGATCTATTCGACACAAATTGGACCAAACTGGTTGAACCAAATTTGTGATTCGACTAGGGCTGTTAACAGTCCTGAAATTCCAGGGTTTGATGGCTGATTGCAAGATGCAATTCGGCCCACATCTGTAAAACCCAGTTTTAATTTGTTAAAGCTATATAAGCCTAATACAACATAAAAGCTATATGGGCTAAACTACTTCAGCCCATAAACCTAGATAATATTAATTGGTAATATTATGGGTTTTAAATGGGCTTTAATTGTGGGTTTTACAGATATTTTAATTGATTGGATCAATTTGTTTCATGCATATGATGTATGGATGTGTGATGTGCTACGTACATGGGCTATAAGCACTTGGTCCAT